ATACACACACACACACACACACACACACACACACACACACACACGATAAATAAATAAATAAATGTAATAAAAAAATTTTAAAGCCAGAGCCATGTTTTCAGAATTCCCTTGCCTTCATGTTTACATATGACCAATATCTAGGTTTGGGTTTATTTACTTCTTCAGAGGTATTTTTGTAATTTTGCCAACAAGAGGAAAGTTTACGGATGTCAATAGAACACAGAAGCAAAGCCTGCAAAAGGCAAGCTAGACACCAGGCAGCCAAGTCTTTGAATCTCCAGTGGGTCCTGGACTCCCCAGCACCCTGCACACAGAGGCACCTCTGGGCTGGCACCCTCTCTGCAGCTCTTGAGGGTCTAGGCCTCTTGCAGAGCCTCCATGGAAAGGAAGTGTTTCCCGAGTCCAACTCATATTAGAAAACAAATATCATATAATTGCTCCAATCTCTTTTGACTAGCTATGACTAAATCACACTCAGTACCCTCTTCCCACTTCTCAACAACTCAAACGTCTCAAAACCCAGTTCCAAGAGACACTGAAGAGACAGGCGATAGAGCCATGCCTCTCTCAGGTTCACCTGCCCTTGTCTCTCAGTCACACAGCAGCTCCATATCACAGAAGCATCCGGTGAAAGCTGGTAATCGTCTAGCACCGACTCGTGCATGTCCCTTCTCATTAGAGTCTTTTTTCTCCTTAGCCCTTTCTATCTCCCCTCCCCCGCTCCCCAAAACACCAAATTCTCAAATCTTCATCCGAAGAAAAGTTTTTGCATTCGCTAACCATGGATGTGCTCTTCCGAGTCACTCCCACCCAGCTCCAAATGGAACCTGTTGGGAGGCTGTTTCAGACTGTCGTTATTTCAGTCCTGCTCTGCTCAAGGACCAAGGTCATTTGGCTATTTCCCAGTCTTATACAGCTTCCTTCCACGGTGGACTACCCAATCCCCTCACCCTTCATGCCCCACACACGATTCTCTAGTGCTTTGAAGGAAAGAGGAGTAGGTGTCCCGTCATGTGTCAGAAAGCAGCGGCAGGCAAGAAGAAGGGAGGGAATTTTAAAAAGGCATACAGTAGTAGACTTTAAAACAAACCCTACAGTGCCACAATGGGGGTGTTAATTGAACACAGAAAAGGAAAGAGCAAGAACAAAAGACTGTTAAAGAAGAAAAAAATCACTTTTTAAAAACTCCTCCAATGATGTGATTGAGCTTCAATGCAGATTCGGCACCGTGAAAACTTGTCGGAAAAGTGCTACACGCAGCCATTGCTTTCTAAAACTAAAAATCACTCACAGTTGCAAAATTCACTGGTATCACTAAGTATTCTCTTTAGTAAACGAACCCTGTTTTTCACCTTTTCCTTATTTTTAGACTTGCATGATTTTGACAGAGAAGTATTTTTAAAAAATCAAAAAATGTCTTAAAATATATTGTCGTTCGTTTTTCAGAAATTCAATGTGTTTGTTTTTCTCCACTTCATTCCAACAACCCAATTCCCAGCCCACAAAGACATTAGGCAAAACTCAGCCTATTGCTAACACGGCAGAAAGCAGGAATGGTTCTTTAAAATAACAAAGAAAATTGGATAGTACATGACCCAGATCTGTACTAAAGACCCGGTGGTCCCAGACTGAAGGTGCAGCTAACGGCCACATCTGAAATGAAATCACTGTCACTATAAGTCTTGACAGCCTTTCCTTGCTGCCGTCCCTGCAATCTGTGACCTGAACCTTTTCTGTTGGTGTTTCCCCCGCCCCCCAGGGTTTGTTTTTCAAAAGCAAAAAATATCAAAGTAAACACACTCTTGAAGCAAGAAGATGCATCAGTTCTGTTTTCCATATTCCCCACAGTAATTTCTGACTTAAAGACCCATCAATCTATTGTAATTCAGGCAGCATTACCTATTCTGGGCATTATGCACATGTGCGAATTTTTTTTTTTTTTTAAGTTCCAGAAGGTTGATTAGACATCTTAGCAAGTTTTCCTATCTCCTTCTGAGTCTTGCCGCTAAATCATTAACAAAATCTAAAAAGCCAAAGCCAGAAAATACCCCCATTCTTCTCTCCGGAGCCCTGCCTAGGTGAGCCCACCCCACCTGAGTGACTTCCACAGGGCTTGAAGTGGATGCTCGGAAACACTCTTTCAATGCCACAGGACTTGGATGTAGCAAGAGGGAAAAAATTCCCCAAACAGTGAAGTGTGAAATGATCAATCTTCTCACTAGCTCTAGATGGAGATGGAGAGACAGAGACAGAGACAGAGACACAGAGCGACTTGTGCAACTTGACAGACACTTTGTATCCTCCAAGGTATCAAAACATGGAAGATATACAGGAGGCATGAGGTACCTCAGATACTGAGCAGACAAGTCACAGCCCTTGTTTTAAAGACACCATAGTCCACTCTACCTTTGACACACACTGTGTTTCTTCCCTGTGGCCTCCCAACATTTCAGCTGAAGAATAAAGGGGAGGTAAGTCTCTCTTTTTCCCTCTCTCTCAACTTTCCCCCAAGGTGCCCTCTCAACATAAAACTGTATGATGCATTCCCTCTTCACACAGGGAGCAATCACAGTTACATGTGCCATTTATATTATTTCATAAACTATTTCTTAAAACATCCAGTACTAGAGATAACACACAAAACTTCAACTTAGATATTTTTTAAGACTCCAACCATTAAACATGACATAAAATTTTTTTAAAAGACAAAACATTTCTTCCAATTATAAGAATATTGTTTTGACCGATACTATAACTTCCCGTCCACATACTTTAGCCAATATCAATTAATAAGGTGCAAAGTCTTTAACCTACACCTGAACCGGACCTCTATTCACACCCGACCACTTTGATCTACTGTGTCAGCAGGTTTTAATTAGGATACTAGAATTAAACACTCGAGCTACAATGTACATGTAAGTGACCTGACGGGCCCCCTTTCCATAAAAATCAGATGAAGCATCTTAAAAAAGAAACTCCCCTTTGATCCCTTTATTCCATATTCCTTTAGATTTTGATTTAACATTTTATGAACCAAGAGCAGCAAAAACTCCATGAGAAACAAAATCCCACAAACCCCAGATTCAAAGTCAATACACATCAGAGATCAAAGAAGAAAAAGAGAGGGAAGAAAAACAGGAGAGAAGGGAAAATAAATAAATAAATAAAAATAAATACATAAATAAATATTTGTCTTTCCATCTCTGAGCTAATAGGAAAAAATAAAAGCCCTAAAAAATGTGACAAACTACAAAAAAAAAAAAAAAAATCTCTTTGGATATTGGTATGCACAATCAATACATCTCTTAAAAGGTGTCTCACGACTAAGCGATGCAATTATCAGCTTTGCAGTAAGGTTAGGCTCTGGCAGAACAACCTGGATGACTCAGAGGTCTGAGCGGCCCGTCTCAGGTGCTTTGTCTAGGAGGTTATGCACAACACAAGTATCGTTCAACAAAGGAGCTGCCTATGAATTTCACAGATATTTGAAAGACCCAAGGAATTACATATTCAATCAACTGTCACCTCTTGAAGCAATTCATTTTTTTAAAAGAAGAATCCTCAAAATAATAAATAAATAATAAATAAATAAATAAATAAATAAATGCCACCTTGAATGGCCACCCCGTCCTTTCCATGTTTTATGAATGTATATCAACCTGGCATGCAATCATATCTATTGTCACTTTCATTCATGTCAGGCAGGCCCTTGCTTATATGGTTTAGATATGAATTATTGACTGTTTATACTCCTTGTTGTACTAAATAAATAAATAAATAAATAGGATGGCAGGTACTTTGCCTGGCTTCAAAGCGAGCTAGAAAGTCAGAGCCCAACAGCAGCTCTATAAGCACCACTCAATCCTTCATCTTTACACCCTGGCTTCAGATTGACTTCCCAACTCTTTCTTCTTACAAGGGAGCAATTTACCCACTTTGGAAAATTAGGGATTAAAATAAACAAACAAGAGGACGTTGCTAAGTGCCCTTTCCCTGCGCATCTGTTGTTTAAGAACACCTCTGATTGATGACTGTGATTTTTTAATTGTTGCTTTAAAATTTAAATGCCCTCCTGGGATGTGTTATAAGTGTGTTAGCCCATGATATGAGGTCTAGAAAGTAGAAAAACAACAGAGTGAATGATGTCAGGGTAATACAGTCCCCTAAATCCAAAGATTCTCCCTGCTAGAAAAATCACAGGTCATTCAAAAGCTGCGTTAACCTAATGCTGCGTAGTACCTGCCACTAAAGTATTTGAAGACACTCTTTTGAGAACCTCAAGTTGGTTGCTCTGTGAAAATACAAGGAAAAAACAAAAAACAAAAGAATCGGAAAGAAAACTTTAAACAGTCTAGCACCCCCTGACCCATGGTGGAGGAAAATAAGGGGTGGGGGAGATTATGAGCCAAAACATATATACCTTTAGGAAACAGACTTTTACTTCATGTTTTCCCCCAAAGGCACATCATTCTATAAATTTCCCTTTAGTACCTATGTTCTAGACCAAATTTCAAAAAAAGTGGGGAACAGAGTTAAAGAAAATAAATATATAATACTTGACGTGTCAAAGAAACTTCATGTGTTACAGAAAGCAAGAGGCCTTCTCATCTGAGTATGTGGTCCACCCTAATTTCATTTTCATTTTGAAATTTTAATATTTCAAGAAGAGTTTTTTCTTTCTTCCTTTCTTTCTTTTTTTTTTGGATTGCCAGTTAAGTGATTTGATTGGCCAAAGAAAAATGCCCAAAGGTTGGATTCTCATTCTTACCTGTTTTTTCTTTGATTTCACACAACACATTAAACAAGGCGGGCTTCATTCTGTGGCAGTTTAAAGCATGTTTTCTGCAAGGAAAGAAAAAAAAAAAAAACATAACAGCTTAGGTGTACACTCAAGATCAAATTTCTTATAAGGCACAGGGGGAATCTGAACATTTAGCCAAAATTATACACCAAGCCTAACTTGGTGACATGCTTCAGTTGTTTTTATGACTTAATATACAGAGTCCCACCATACAAAAAAAACAATTTTAATTAGCAGGAGAGCAGGGATTGAACTACAAAACAGAACTAACCTAAATTATGCCCATTTAGGGAAAGGATTTCCTTATTCTATTTTTCTTTCCTTTTTTCCCCTCCCCTTTGGTAAGTAGTTTAATCAAAGTGGAGTTTTATTTTATTTTTTTAAGTGGAATTCTTAAACCAAGAATTCTATCCAAGAAAATGAACACAGCAAGGGCCAAAGATACAGGTTAGCAGTTTTGTATGATCTGTGCAAGGACCATTGCCTAAGAGCTGTCTGCCTCTGTGTGTGTGTGTGTGTGTGTGTGTGTGTGTGTGTGTGTATGTGTGTGTTTTCAAATTTAATTCATCCATGTGTTTGAATTCATTCGGCAGATGCCCCTGTATTCTCATAAACACAAGATGCTTGAAAGGTCTTATGAGGAGAACTGTCAATTTATAAAATTTCAGTCCCCAAGTTAAAGAGTATGGAAATGTGTTGCCAGGGGGCAAACATACCCAGATGGGGAATAAATTCATTTCTCTGTGTTCACATTATGGCTCTTGTGCGCACACCGCTTATTTGCAGGTGTTGAAATTCAATTATTTACAATTAGGACCTTGCACCCACTGGGGAAAAAATAAATACAATTTTGCCTTTTAGATTAGTGATTTACCTGGTTCCTGTGGCTGTGTGCGTTTGTGCTGGGAATGCACTTGAGGAACAGAACAATACCCTTCTAGTTTATTATGGGCTCACTTAGAATTGATACTGTTTTGGAAACAAAATACTGATCATATCAGCTACTAGTTAAGGGAATTCTGTTTACTAACTAAATGTATGTGTAAAGATAAGCAGAAAGTCTAGGCACTCAAAACATATTTAATTCTTTTTTAAATCAGTTTAAGAGTTAAAAAAAAATAGATTCATCTTAAAGAACAGAAATCACAAATATACTCTATACTATATAGCAGGGGAATAATAAACTCAAAATTCAAAAGTATCAAAATGCACACATATACTGTATCTAAAACAGTGCTAGCTTACTTTTGAATCAACAAATGTACACTGCAAATGTGCAACTAGGGAGAAGAAAAAAGGACTTACTAGTCTAAGTAGAGCTACATTGTTACAAGGAAAAATAAAGTTGGTGGCAATTTAGCTTTCATGAGAGGTTTAAAAAGGTAGAAAATATTTTACTGTGTTAAAGACTTTTTCTGGGTCCCTTAAAATAGTTCCCACTAACCATATTCTTTTACACAGGCCCCAGTGCAAAGAAATACTTGGGCATATCTGTCTAGAAGCACTGTATCCCCACAGTACACAAACCGGGTTCCAGAGAGACAACTGGATTTTTTTCCCACCCCAAAGTGTATCTGATCTTTCTCAGCAGCTAGGCCATTAAAAGGGAAACCCGCTGAGAGGTGTTTGTCCTCAGTTTCACAAAAAGAGAAGGACTAAACACCAGAAAAGTACAGAGGAACCATGCTAACCAGCCTCTCCCACTTCATGAACTTGTAATCAAGCCAGTTTATCGGTGTGTCTCAGGGTATTTTTCTAGAACAATGTTGTAGAGAAATCTGTTCCAATTCAAGAGAGAATTACCAGTGGGAAACCTCTCACTGGCCAGATCCATTAGCTTTTCTTTAAATAATAAAATTCAAAAGAGCAACAATTAATTTTTAAAAAAATGTCCCCCTCCATTAAAAGCATGAAAACAGTTGGAAGTCTTTTAACATTTCCAAGTTTTCAAGCGTCTGTAAGCCTTAGCACTTTTAAGTTTACGTGCTCCATGTGTTAGCAGCTAAAACAGAGTATAATTCATAACATGCAAGCTTTGAGCTGCTTCCTCCTAGTCTCTCACTGTTTCTCTTACATAAAATTCTGAGTATGTGTTATCCATATAACTAAGTCACATGAGGTTTCATAATTTTGCATATATCTTTAAAAGATTTCCAAAGCAAGGTAGAAAAGTATTTAGGAGATTTAACAAAGCTGAGAGACTGTGTGGACATGTGTGGTCATTAGATTTTTTAAATTCTTCCTTTCCGAGTTGGGCCTTGGGCAAGCTGTTAGTGGGTTTGCCACTTAACCTGTGTTTTTATTTTGAAAGAGGATTTGTTGCAAAAATCCTAGAGTACAGCTATATATACCTGGAGGTGGGCTGAGTTAGGGAGCTTTTTCTTCATGTCTTGTCCTATTGAAATACATAAAATTCTCACATGCTTCCATACAACACATTCCATAGAGTTGCACTCTAAGTGATCCTGAATGAGGAACGGGGAAAAGAACATGCTGGATATCTGTCCCCCACCCTTTTTTAAGGGACCATACATAGCTGTCTGTGTCCTGGGAAGATAAACACACCAATTCAAATTAATAGACGATACAGTTAAACTAAAAATCCGAGTCTCCTAAAACTGGCAAATTTTCCTCAAGGCAAAATTATCTTTCTTTCCGTTAGCTTTATCAAAAAACAAAATTGAGGGAGTGCAAGATCTCTTCTGGGTAGCTGACAACTACTGACAAAGAAATATCCTGCTTTTTTGTTTATTTGTTTGGGGTGGGGGGGGTGAAAAAGAGGGAAAAAATCTCTCCCCAAATTACGGAGGGGTAAGTGAAGAAAGAAACTCAAGCTTGCTGAATTAGCTGGGGAGTTAGTGGGATCCGTGAATAAAGTATTCTTGGGACCTTTTTATTTTGCAACGTTCCGGAGTCCCTCAATAGGCAAGGAACGCAGCTCGGAACTTGACAACTCTGCTCCTCTCTTACACTTTTTAAAGCAGTTTTTTAAAAAAGTGCCGAGGGCCGCTTCTGGCAGTATTTTCGGCGCAGCTGAGTGTTTGTGTGGATACATACAAATACCTCTAACACACACACGCATCTAACACACAGCCACATTATAGCACGGGCGATCACACTTTCGATAACAACGCTTCTTTCCATTTTACTCCACCGCCATGGAGTTGCTTGTCAAAATGGGAAAAGAAACAACATTTGAAAAGAGAGCGCTGTTGTGGTTCGGTTCCCATTGTTTCCCCCTGCGAGAGGGAGAAAAACAAAAAAAACCCAAGAAAGGAAAAGAAAAGCCTGCGTCTCACCTGGCCTGCGCTTCATCCAAACTCTGGTCTGTGATGGTCATGATTTGCTGTAAAATGTCCCCGATGTCTTGCTTCCTCCCGCCCTCCCCCTCGGTCCCTCCGGCCCCATCCTGCAAGTGCTGGGACAGGCCAGGGTGTCCGGCCATCCCGACCCCAGCGTGGGAATGCATCAGCCTCGGCTGCTCGTCCATCTCCGAAGGCTCCGGCAGCCCCCGGCTCTTCCTCTTCGGCTCCTCGGCTCGGCGCCTGGGAGGCACCGAGGCTTTTTATCCTTCAAGCTGTCTTCAAATCCTTTTCAGGATAAACAGGGAAGGGGATGAAAAAAAAAGACCAAAAGGAAAAAAAAAATCTCTTTGCCTCTTTAGAGGATGGTGGGAGGATGGGGAGGGGGAGGGGGCCGTGAAGGGGTTGCGGGGTGAGGGTGGGGATAAGGGCTGGTGGGGAAGGGTGTTGACTCCAAAAAAGCAAGAAAAATAAACCACCTTCCCACTTGGCGAAAAGAAATCAGAGCTGCCTTTGGGTTTTTCAGTCCGATCTCCTTTGCAAGGCAGAAATGGGCTCCCGGCGCTTAAATCTGTGGCTTAATCCTTTTGCAAATATGCATCGATCGGGAGAAAGGAGAGGAAGGCAGGGGGATTGCAATGCAAACTTTCCCCCCCACCCCCCGCTGCCCTGAGCTCTCTCGTCCTCTGTGTCTCTGCAAACTCCAGCAGCCCCGTCAGCCTCCTGCTTTTGTTTAGCTCAGGCTCAGGACTCCAGAAACATATACAGAAAAACCACAGCCTGAGAGGAGGAGGAGAAGGAGGAGGAGGAGGTGGAGGAGGAGGAGGAGAAGGAGGAGGAGGAGGTGGA